CCTGTGTACAGCGTGACTTAAGTTAAACCGTTGTTTCAATAGGATGAAATTTTCTTCACGTCACCTCAGGATTGTCGGATACAACATTAGCACTTTCGCACGAACAAACGGTACCGATTGATTATTTTACTGGTCGAAATGTACGTCAAATCGCTTATGTTATGGCACGTTTGCGAATAGTTAATAAAAAATCGTTGATAAAAAAAAACGCCTCTGGGAATGTCTTGACGTAATAAATCCAGAGTTTCTTCGTCTAACGTCTGTTAATGTCGCATTTCTTATGCCCTGTTCTATCAATGTAAGATTAATTTTAACCCAGGTACAATTTACTTTTTCTAATTCCAAATATTGGAAAAAGATAAACAGTAAGTAAAACCGAGATTAAAGTTAATCTTATATTGATAGAACCGGGTCTTAATGACGAAAGGAAAAACAAAAAACGGTCTACTTCTGATGAAGATTGAATTATTACTCAACATATTTTAAGCTAACATTTTATCTTTTTTATGTATTTTTTATGAAAGGCAGATTCAACTGAGCAAATGATAAATATTTCTGTTTTGATGTTTTATTTCTTAGTATTTGCTTTGATATTTTTATAAAATTTAATTTTGCTATTTTGATATTTCAATCTAATATAACTTTTTTGTCTTAATTAGTTGATGCGACGCTTTTGGATCGGAGCACGGAATTGACTTTTAAATGCATCTTGTTTTTTCTTCTTATACATTACGACCAGCCAAAACTTGCTTGAACGGAAGCCCAATATAAAATATGTTAACGCCTCGACGACAACAACTAATCACGACATGTACATAGAAAAATAATATTCGCGTCGATGTGTCGAGAAAGGAACACTTGTGTCAGAAAAACCCGCCATCTCCGCCTCAAGTTCGTACTTTGATACATATCCTAATTTGCAATTTGGTCGCTGCAGTAAAAATCAATATTATATTAATCTTTTATGTCTAAAGAATTCAAAGAATTGTTGTTACTATTAGGAAAGGCAGTACACAATTAAAAAATGTATTTTTAATTGTATATTTTAAAATTTACTAAAATTGAAATTTGTTTTTAATTATTAATTAGTTGTAATAATATCGATTAGAGAATAACGAATTAATATTGTTATCTTTTTAATTAACGTTACATGCAAAAACTGATCTGCTCCTGTTAATAGCAACTTTTTAATTTGCCAACACTGACAAAGGAAGTGTTTAATTTTAAGATATTAAAATATTTTATTCTTGTCTATATTTTTTAAACATTTAAAAATGTTTTAGACTTTTTCAATAAACAAAATACTATATGTTTGGATTTAAAATACATAGAGCTTTCAATCCAAACATATAAGTTTTGTTTACTGTAAAAATTTAAAACTAAAACATCTTTAAGTGTTTAAAAAGCGGATACAAGAATAAAAACATTTTAATATCTTAAAATTAAATGCTTCTTCTTTTAATAAAGTTTTCAATTTTGTGTTCCTTTATTTCTTTTCTGTTGCATGTCTGACGATGTTTTCAAGATTATGTGCATGGTTTTATATTCGTAGATGAGAAAAACACCGCGTTTGAATGAATAAATTAATTAAAAACCGTTCCCCATATGATCCGGAATAAAAGTATGCTCACAGCGATATTATTGACGTTCCTAATTGCTTCGTTGCAACGTAATTCCTTTTTTTTTTACCAGTTCTACAATGACGATGTGTACGCAGTTTAGTTCGATATCTGTATGCCCAGCGCCCAAAATATCTAGAGAAAATAGTTATTCTCATGACTGATTGTAACAAATAGGATTAATTAGCAAATCGAGATGTTGCATGATGATGTTTTGCCGAATACAAACCGTCCAAACAAAATTAGATAAAAATATGCGATGGAGAGAAACACTGCTTCAATATATCGATAAACTTTTTAAAACTTAGAATTTCATAAAGTACGTGAAAAGAAATTAAATTATAAAAAGTAATAATATATGTACAACGTTCCAACAATTTAATCATTCTTTTGGAATTTTATTTTTTCTTTTCTATTTTTTTGTACGAATTGTAAAAGATTTGTAAGATCCTTTTTACACGAACGAATATTTCATTTAAGATGAAAAAGATCTGGACAGCGCATCTTTTCCAGCGAATCCAATCCTGGATTCACCAGATTCCGTTTCAGAAGACTGCAAAAAGAAAGGTATTTCCAACAAAGAGCGATTTAAAGCTATTTTTCTGTCTATTTTATAATTCGTGAATTCCTTTACTCACAAATCCGAGTAAGTATTTAATCCCCGTATTTCAAGATTTCTGTATCAAAAATTTGTAGCAGTCTTTCAATAATCTTTTGCTACCTTTTTCCTGCTGCTGATAGCCTGCGAAATTGAGCTTTCTTTTCAACTTTGGCAAAGTCACTTATTTACGAACGATGAGGCGAATTCGATGGCGAATTTAAAGGGTCTGCGATAGCAAAGCTATTGTAGAGCGACTTAATTTTCGTGTACGGCGAGTTTCATTAAGGGAACGTAAAAAAGATGATTTGTCAGAAGTTCCAGGATGCACGGAAAAGCCGTGCCTACTGGAGAATTACGCTAATTAGTGTCTTTACCCGGACGGTCCGCGTAACTGCGCACGTAGCATAGTCTCCCTTTCTCTCTCTCTCTCTCTCTCTCTCTCTCTCTCTCTCTCTCATTCATTCGGTCACTCGTTCTCTTTTTCTCTCTCTCTGGAATGATTATCCAGAAGCAAATAGAGACGGTCGATTAAATAGACCGTTACATTGATGCAGAAAAGGTATTCCGTACTGCGTTAATATATATACATATATACATATATATATATATATATATATATTTGTCGATGTCTTGTTGAAAATATTGCGCACAAAGTCGAACTGTATAATAAAATAATAAAGTTGAAGTATATCGAACTAGAAAAGGCCGTCATGAAAAATAACAATTTCATTCTCAAATATATGGTGGTCTATAAATATGGACCTAACTTTACTTTTTTTTGTTCTTTAGTCTGTTAACTGAAATCGTTATTTTCGATATAATTGGCTTCTAGTTGGTTATACTTCGATTTTTATAAAGATCGAGCATTTTTCTTCATTTTTATTATTTTATGTGTTCTTTTTATTTTTATTATATAGAATATAGGACAAGTTGATAAGATACTACGACTTTCGATTACCCGAAGTATACAGAGTTACATCAATATTTGTTGTTGTAGTTATTGCAAGCGATATTTTCCAATGATTTAAGATACTGACGAAAGAGAGTACTCTAACAAAATACGGAATACCTCTACAGGTACGTGTGTACTAGGATGACATAAGTAACCTTCTATCTTGCATTTAAATATATATCTTTACTTTTTTGAGAAATAAGTACATGCGGATAATGTAAAACACATTATTATGTTAATGAAATTTACTAGAGTCCTCTCTCTCTCTCTCTCTCTCTCTCTCGACTCCAATAAAAATTCATCTTTCTTATTAATCCAAGAAATAAAAATATATATTTGAACAATGACTTTTTGTCTATTTATGTCACCCTACAGTATTCTCGGCTCCCTAGCGTGTACACGCAAGCAACACGTAAAACACACAGAACTTTACGCTAATACATGTTATATTTGTTATACTTACAAAAACAACAAGTCACTCACGCTTCCATTATTATATATTTACAATCCGCCTCTGGTTATTGCTATTATGGTACATTTATACAGGCAAAATGGCGCACGCGACAGATATCTTCTTATCCTGCTGATCCATCGCGGCGTTATTGTTTCGTGATTACGATAATGTTACACACGACCTCGACACGTTAATAAGTGTCTTGTGTTATATGTATGATACAGCCTTGCATATACCGGTGCGCTAATAATTACATCTAATTAGCGCTAGCCGGCTGTCTTCACTATGTACAGAATAAACAAAGATTAACTCCTCTTTCATCCCCTCATGCCTTACACATATATACATATACATATATATATATAATATATGTATATTCGCATTCCAAGTGACTTCCGGCGTTTCTCTCTTTGTGCGAATGTTGACTGTTAGTGGCTTCTGCAAATATTTTACTTTTATATGAATTAATATTTTTATTTTGGCTGGAGAAAATTATTAGATATATATTCTGAAAACTTCCATATAAATCAATTTTCTCTTTCGTTAATTTTCTGCGAATATTCGCTAATTAATAACCGCTGCTGTAAATTTTCCAAAAATCCTTTTAATTATTACGATATTTGATCGATTCCTTTTATCGTCGATGTCAAAAGAAGATTCCGAGTTTAAGCCTCGCAATCGTCACGCAGATCGAAGCATATCGATGATAATCGTTCGATAATAGCGTCGATTATATTCGCTAATACCCGTTTTAATGGCTTAGCTCTTGGAAAGCATTAATTTCGATCTCGAATCTCTCTAAAGCGTTTGTCGCGCACCTCCCGAGGCGATATGATAGCATGGATTACACATTACCGGATGTATTTCGGGATGCGATTATGTGGAAGGCAATTACGCGCCGCCGATCGTCGTTCTATTGAACGATGGCTACGGTAGTGTTTAGGAACTCACATTTTAAAGACCGCAGATTCGCAATTAACTCTTTAAATTTAACGCAAATTTTTACTCCTTCTCTCAATACATACAATTTTATATTTTCAATGTTATTTTCATTTTATTTTAATATTACATTTTTTATGTTGTTAAATTTAAAATTAAAGCACTTCACCTGATCATAAATTTGCACACAAATATTTACAACAAATATATTTTTTTTAATTAAATATTTTCCCAGTTTGAAAATTTCTAATTCTGTTTGTGGTGCATGTTTCATTTTCTTTTTGCTTAAAATTATTTAAAATATTAAAAATAACAATACATAATATATTTCTTTGAAGCAGAAATTGTTATACATGCTAATATGCAAAGAACGCGAGCTATACAAAATGCATATTCCACGATGATTGACATTCAACGTAATGATTAACAGCGTGTGCTACGCACCAAGTTACGAATAACGGAGAAGTGATGTGTGAAGTCAATATGTTCGAGTATTAAGGGTCAATTGCGAATAGCGTCGATTGGCGTCCAAAAATCGTCGAAACAAAGCGGCTCGATTTTGGCTGAAAATTTATTGAGAAAAAAGAGACTTGGAACTCGCCTTTCGGAGGCGGATTTTTCGGAATTGTGTCGAACTACACGAATTGCGAGGGTGTCTTCCAGCAGTTGGCGCAGCAGGGCAAGGCGCTCTTTAGGGTATCCTTGAAGGCGTCACGGAAGTCGCGGTTGAAATACGCATAGATGAGTGGGTTTAGGGCGCTGTTGAAGTAACCTATCCAGAAAAGCACCGATACCACCGTATCCGGGCAATAACAGGCTTCGCCGCACAATGATGTTATCAGATACCTGGAGAATAATAAACAAAAAGAGCTCACTTCTTCTGCATTCAAAACTAAATATCTGTTATTAAATCTTTAAAGATCAAGTATAATCAGTATTATATAATTATATAAAATATAAATTATATTATATAAAATGTAATGAGTATTATATAATTATATATCACTTTTGAAGATTAAGTATTATATAAATATACGTAAAGAAATTATCTCCAATTTTATAAATCCATATTTGAAAGAATTGAATTTAGAATTACATTTCAAAGAATCACAATATGATTTAACATATTTTCGAAAAGGCATAGAGGAAAGGCCCCTATTATGAGATATTGAGTTCATTTTGAGTAAATGCTAGAAGTCTATGAGCAGAATTTTAAAAAATAATAAAAAAATTGTGCTCCTAATATGAGATGCCCCGAGAAATTGACACTAAAACGCAAAATTTATCAGTATTGTAACTAAAAAACTTTATTTAATGTTACCTAAATGTAAACAAACACAGCCAGGGTGCATGAAAAATGAGTATGCGATATATTATACTCAAAACTCGTCTTCTGATAGTTGAAATCAAGCATCGCAGAAATAGGCACTCGACGGTTGTCCTTTTTATTATTGTACAATAACATTGATACTTTAGCAACGATTTTCACTATGACATGGGAGCATGAGTTATTTCATATTAGAAATACCCTGGGTATCTCATATTACGATTTCCGCGCCTTATGGTTTCACGATCATCAAATCTAACTTCTGTAATTAAGCAATTCAACATATCCCGTATTTTTCTATTAGAACGATGTTACTCCATCACTACATGAAGAATTTATTGCCAAATATTTATTTATTAAATAATAAATAATATTTAAAGGCTTATCTTAATGAAATTTGAAGACATCCAAATTCTAAAATCTTTTTTTTTCAATGACTACAGGCATGACCTAATAATGAATTTTCTACTAAATAGTTTTCAATTCAAGAGTAATAAATTCATGGTGGAACCAATAGATAGCGTCTATTAGTTTAGCAGAAATGCTGCTATCTTATATTAGGCGTCTATCTCATAATAGTGGGCTTTCCTTTAATATATAATTGATCTAAAAAATATGTATAAATGAAAATTAACTCTCTCGCAAATTTTACAAAATATAAAAAATATGATATGTTATTCATATTATTCTTACTTTCTTTCGTTATATAAAATTATTTATTATGTAAAAAAGGCGTTTTAAAAATTTTTTTATAATAAATACATTACTATAAATAACACAATAACGTAAATCATTAAAGACGATCATGCTGTGGTAACATCAATAATCGAGACAGATTATAAATCTGTAGGGAAAAGATCAAGAGAATAGATCAGCCAAATACGGTGCGCCATAATTTTCAATAAGGACATGTACCTCAGTGCGGTGTTAGCCGTATCTTGAAAGCACGAATACAGATATAGAGCTCAGATATTTATGGGATTTGTTTTATGCCAAAACTACATCGGAGGAAACGAGTTTTCTCTACGTGTGCCTCATCTGTTTTTCTACAGGCATCTGCGCTGGGTATTTCGCATATACATGCATCTGCTGCATTATGTGTAGATTTCAAATCAATATTTCAATATTGCCTTTTCTACGTGGGTGAAAATCGACGTGAAAATAAGATTCATGTCCTGAATTCAGCACACGTAGCACTCACAATTTTGTAACAAAATTCGAAATTTCTTGTGATTTAGAAGTGTTATTACGTTTGAAAAAATGCAACATAGATTCTAAAAGTGTAATGAGGTAAATCTGAAGGTATATCTATTAAACAGAAACTATTATAACTGTTCCAATAATTTGCAAAGCTATCACGCCAATTAGTTTAAATTAAGAGGAACGATGCTTGCAGTTCAATATAACTATTTCTAATTTATATTCCAAAATTAAATTAACGAAATATGAAAAAAGCAACAAATAATTTCAAAGCTATATATTTTATTGCAAAAATTTAGTGCGATTTTCTCTAAAGGAAAGCTTATTTTATGCATTTTATGTCACTGAAAGATTGCCTCATTAACTGGAATATTGCATATTCTATATAAATTGAAATAAGGCTAAAAATGTAATGCAACCGTATTTTCGACCACACAATCGTATCATTATTAATGTGCCTCGATACCGATATAGTGCAATATTAAATGGATCGACGTGGATTTGTGGTCACAGTTATCTCCGTTTGACGAAAATTATAAAGCCACCGATATCAATCAAACAAATTGGACTTTGAAAACGCAGTTGATCTCTTCTATACAACTACATCCGCTCCTACGGATTTATCTCGTTGTATTGTTTTCCAATATATCTCTATTGTTATTTCTGTCGCACGTCTCGTGAAACATATATCACATGGAGAAAGAAGAACACACAATATCGAGTACATAATAAAATAAAAATATAAAATATTAGCAGGGGTTATCGAGATTGGATACAAAAAAATGTAAATAACTATAAACGTTAAAGGGCGAATTAAAGAGGTTTATATACTGGTATTCGGATATTTTCTTAAAAACACATTAAATTCATACGATAAAAGTGAATCGATTGTACAAAAGTCGATAACGCGATTCGGAAAATGGCCGAACTAGGAAACTAACGTGAGCTTTTAGGTCAGTAGAGTGATGCGCTTTGTGCATTTGCATGAATAAAAATCGAGTTGCAAAATCGAGGTATTCCATTGCACGTCCATATATCTGCATTGCTTCGCTCTATTTCCATAGAGAGCTCATTTTCCGGCGGAACTTTAGTCGAGCATATTTATTCATTGTCATCATTTGCTATTTAACGAAATTACTATTATAAGAATTTCAATAAGAACCGATTTAATATGTAGTATTTTATTAAGAAAATAAAATAAAATAGTATAATATGGGTTTTATATACAAGGATATAATTAATTCTAATTTTATCATATCTTTTACAATATAATTTTAAGATTATCTATCTATAAAATGCTTCATTAAATCTTTTTAATGTAATTTTAATAGCAATTTTAAAAAGCTAATCTGTAAATGACGAACTTTTCGTAGTAAAATTTAAAATTAAAGTACTTTTACTCATTCTATTTTAAACTCCTTTATTCTTGCTACTTTCCACGTAATCCTAAAACATAGTTTTAATGCGAAATTCACTCCTTCAGGGATAAACTCATCTAAGTGGTAAGTGACCACATCACGTATAATTATTGCGTGCCTAAAGGGGTTTGCACATATCCTAAGGCTAAACAAATTTCCGAGATATTTATCAATTTGTTCGTAAAGACCATGTCTGTCTCCCGCATTATCTATTTTGAATTTTGGATTGAAAACGCTTTGAGACAAAGTTTTTTTCTTCGTCCCTCGAGTCTCTCTAAGAGAGACCTTCATATTCCGCTACGGTCGTGACGCTTAGTCAAGCAAATAGTCAAACTGCGAGCAAGCTTGCGGAGAGAGTAGGGTAAGCCCTCGGCAAACTCCATAGAGATGCACTTTCTGAGCTTGCATTAATAAAACATGGGGCGAACGAGATCGTCTCTTCCTCTGCTAACTTTAGACATTTGGCATCAGCAAAACTTTTGACTTCTTTCTCTTTCTCTCTCTTTTTCTCTTTCTCTCTTACTCTTGATAAAACAATTCGATATATAAATTCCACAGCAAAATTTCTACAAAGTAAAGTGGGCTAAATGAATTTTTACTGAAACTATTTTGTTTGATGAGATCAAGCTCTTCTCTGAGTTCTTTCTTTTAGAGAAATTTGTCTCTAATGACGTCAACAAATTTTTCTAAAAGAAAGAACGCAGAGAAGAACTCGATATATATATACAATCAGTAAGAGAATATACAGTTTAAATACATTTTTAATACACAAATTTTTATTTATTATTATTTAATATATTTTAAAAGATCAAGGCAATCGTCGGAACTGTCCCTCATCGATTTTAATGAGTTTTGGATATGTTGCAGAGCATCTAAAAATATGAAGTCTATGTTTTGTCTCCTTTTATCTCAAAGTTTAGAGAAACAACACGAAAATAATAACTTTTTTATTTTCAGCAAATGTTCTTGAAACTATGAGGTATATGAGGAAAAAATGTTTTATATATATATATATATATATATATATGAAAGTTTTATAATATTTTATATTCTTAACGGTGTATTCATATTTTTTTTAAATGTCTAAAATGGAAAAATTCTTTTCTTTAGGGGATCTTTAAACCTTGAGATAAGCAAACAACATATCTAAAATCCATCAAAATTGGTGAGAGACAGCTTCGACAATTGCCTTGTAAGATAGACACTTTATTTACTCAATTCTACAAATTTTGAAATTTTTATTTTACAAACATTTAAATTAAATTAATTCAATTTTTTCTTTGAATTAATGAGAATTCAAATTAAAGGTGTAAATCAAAGATTTGCTTTTCTATTTTACATTTCATTGGCATCTTAATTTTTAGTTTTCCCTTTTTATCGACAAACTTTTCGATTAATTAAAAATAGAATAAAATCTTAATCAAATTATTTGGAAACTTTTTGGCTATTTTTTTCTAATTAAAATCATAAAAAATCTTTTTTAAAGAAATTGAATTATTAAATTTTTTTCACTTGATGCTCACCAGAGGAAGAACGGCAGCCAACAAAGGAGAAACGCCCCCATAATTATACCGAGTGTTCTCGCAGCTTTATGTTCGGCCCGCCAACTTTTTGTTTGCTGTCGTATCGAAGTACCTGAAACATTAAAATAATCAAATTATGTCGTGATGCTGACTTTTTGAGAAATTTAATATTTTACAATTAGTATCAGTCAAATAATTAAGCTTTTAATAGATCTTAATTTATATCTCACATAAAAGAAATCTTAAAAAAGGTTTTATGTTATCAGATAATGGAATTTATGTTATCAGATGGACGGAAATATCGCAGTCCTTTATGGAAATTTCATGGATAATTATTGTATCTGTAATTATATATTAAATATGCGCGTTGTGTATAACGTAGATTTATGTAGAATATGAAGCATGAGTATTAACATAGTACATTCCATTACACGCGTTGAATTGGTAAATTTTAATTCAAATTCAACGAGACTAGAGTTGTTTACATAATTATCATTATAGAATGTAAACTAGATCCGATATGCAGTTCTAATAATAATATTAATATTATAATGGTTCTCCTAGTATACTTAATAACCAATTTTATATTTTTCCATGGAAATTCATATTAATGAGAGATTCAGTTCCACACATAACTCTCAACCTTTAATTAGTTACGTGGGTTGATAACAATCCCACTCTGCAATTTAGCGAAGTCAAATTGATTGTTGATTATTTGAAATTAAACGGAATCTCATATAAGATAATTAATTTCTATAATTAAAATTTCTCTCTTTGTAATTAGTTTCTTCCTCTTTCTTATCTTATTCTGTTTATTTTTATTTTAATAATTTTAATTTCACGATTTAAAGATTATAAAGTTAAAAGAAGAAAAGAATAATTCAATGATTGTATTTTATATTTTATGATTTTATTTAATTTTTGAAGTACGATTTAATTCTTTTTTCTATTTCATCTTGTATGACTTGATTTCAATTTATCAAAGTATTTTAATTTTAACAAATTTTGGATGAATATAATTATAACAAAAATGTGTGTATGAACGAATTATAATTATTTATTAACAATATATAATAAAAACAAATTGATACAAATAATTCATTAATCATATATTTATATAAATACTTATATAAATACTATATTTAAATTAGTTCTTAACTTCTGTGGAAAAATTCTCTATTTGAAATTATAAAGATTATAAATGATAATAAGATTTTATTAAGACCGACATGAAATTAAATACTATGTATAAGCATATTCAAGCTTATAACGGTCAAAGCTAGATCTTCTCAATGCCTAAATAATTCACAGTGAATTATCTATATCCTATATATGTACATGCATATACTCGTAAATCATATTTTTGTAGTTATTCAAACTGCGCACCGAAATTTTTCTGGACTTTTATCAAACGTAATTAAACTACTGTAATAATATAACAAGTTAAATTAAATTGACAAGCAAATTCTCAATCTTTGATCCGATATCATATTATAAGGATGTTAATGTGGTGAAAACCTTAAATAAATTTATAAATAATTTTACTGTATCGAGTTATTTTACTGTATTGACACAGTGAGAAATTTTTTGGTAAATGCAAATTTTTCTTTAGATGAGTGAAAGAATCGGATAAATTTCGCGATGCAACGCAATACATCAAGTTAGAAAAAAGAATAAAATAACTTTAAAATTATTAAATAATTTGTTTACATCATTTTAATCCTTGATTTATTCTGCATTTATAAATTCATTATAATACATTTAAGAATATAATATAATTAAATAAAAGTATTGATTAGCAATAAAAATTCCGATCGTAAAGCGTTAATCGATGAATTCAACGAGATTTAATGAAAAAAATACTGTCTCCTCCCCCCTCTCTCTCTACCTCTCATATCATCGCGTTTTTTTCTCGAGTTTCTCCCGAGAGCTTTCCTGCAAAAGCCATTAAAAGCCAGCCTACCCAATTTCTGATATAATTACCTTGCACAACGTGCCATCGAGCGTTGTTATCGTAGCGCACAACTGTGATAATCGCACTGCGAGCGAACATCATCATACACGGAAATTTTTCCACAAGCTATTAACACGCACTGGCCATTTAATCTCGTCAGTCAGTGTTCCGCGAGAAAGTTCCTGCTGTCGTAAAAAAGTCTCTCTTTTCAGAGGAATAGGTAATAATAATCTTTATATGCAAAAAATGGTACTCATAAAACGTAAAGACATTTGTCACTTAAACTGGAAAAAATTTACTAAATTGTATTTATTAAAATTTAACTGAAGCATTCGATGTAAACATATAAGCATGCTTGTCTAGTTTAGAGTTCCTAAGACTACCAAAGTCTGGCTATACTCTAAAAATGACGTGCGTGTCCAAAATGTGTGTTGCTCTCAATTGGTATGAATGTATATGCGTTCTCGATTGATACTGCCATTGTATGTGGGCACGCCAATCACAAGAGAGGATGGAAGGATGGCTAGACTTTGGTAGTTCTAGGTAAACTCTAGTCTAGTTGACTCCATCCGCTTAACCAAAATTTAATGAATAAATTAACAAACTGTAAATAAATTAACAAAATAAATTAAATATAACAATGCACTATTTATACACTTTATAAATCCACAAGAAAAAATTTTTGCACCCATTTTGTTTGCTAATAACAATTCTTTCCTATGGAAAGATTGAGTATGTTATCAGTGAATCTGCCCTCTTTTACGTGTTAACAACAATTACTTCAGAAAATTAATTACAGGATTAATGCGCTATTTATGCGTTCTGATACTAAAGTAATTTCAATTTTTGCACTGCATTTTTTTTAAGATACCTATTCCTCTTGAAGCAAATAGCAATATTCGTTTCTAAGTAATTTAAAATTACAAAATTACATTATTTAATTGTACAAAACTTTTTTTTATTTATGCCATATTATTTCCAAGTAATTTTGATTTTTATGCTGTAATCTTTAAAGTGCTTTTTCATGCTTTTTAATGCTTGATGCTCATATTTTCAGCGTTAAAATAGATTACATGACTAAAATTAATGCTAGACAAAAATGTATAAAATGGGTGTAACGTCATGTAACGTCCAATTTTGAATCGAGCGATCTGACGCTGAAAGTTGGATATCCAACTTTCTGCGTCAGATACTAGCGTCAAAATTAAAACCATCTGATCACTGATGTTACTTTTTAGCGTCTCATGAAATCAGCATCATTAAGAAATTTTTCTACTGATACCAGAGACATACAATTTTTTTGAAGGATACAGTGCAAAAATTGATTACGTGGATATAAAAGCGCATAAGTTGTAGATTAATTATAATGCATAGTTGATTTAATAATCTCTTTCATTTTAAAGACATTTTATGCTGATTATATTTCTGATGTCAAGAGAGAAGTCTTTTAAAGGTAGCAAAAATCAAAATTATTCGAAGCATAAATCAAAGATATCTTTTGCATGGTTAAATAATACATGTAATTTTGCAATTTTAAATGATTCAGAAATAAATATATACACTGAAAAAAATATAGTTAATTTTAATAAATATTTAGTTGGAAGTATTCAACTAAATATTTACTAAAATTAACTTTTTTTTTAGTGTAGAAACGAAATTATTTGTTCCAAGAAAAAAATACTTTAAGGGATACAGCGCAAAAATTAAAATTACTTTAGTATAATGTATAAATTCTACGTATTTGATTTCCCGAATCGGTCGTTAATAATGAGGAGGACTCACAGCTTAGTCAATCCTCCTTCCATTAACATATACATAACAAATTTTTTTGGCTAAACGAAATAAGTGCGAAATTTTTTTCTTATAACTTCATAAAATACAGAAATAGTATTACATAATTTATTCATTAAATTTTGATTAAGTAGAGAGGCTTATAGCTAAACGAAGTCATATAAGTCACTTTTGCAAAATAATTATAAAAATATAACATTTTGATATTTTATGCATTAATATATATTTTAAAACATTCTTTATACGCATTTATATTTAATCTCGCTTTTATTGAGCAATTGAAATTACGACAAATATTTCTTTAAAAAGAATTGTTTTAGTGCGAACTGTTTTGATAGTTCAGTAATGGAGACTTAAAAGTTTCATCAGTACACATAAATCGTGAATCCCTAAGTACTCTTCCGGCTGTGCAACGGGACTCAGAAAACCGCAGACAGAGCGAATTCGCTTGGGGTTATATTCGGAAAAGAGGGAGACGGGGTAGTTGTTGTTTAGATAATACGAGAATGGAAGGAAGAGTGTCCGTCCAGACAGAAGGCTGAAGGGTTCGCGTGCTCAGTCGTACTGAGGCAGATTTAGGTTGGTTGGTTGGTCGATGCTCAGCGCTTTCGTGCAATCAATGCTCTCGTCTATCAAGATATAAGAAGCGCCTGTACATACAGGGTGATTTTAGCGAGAAAGTATAAGTGCCGGCGAGTTTTAGAGTTAATCCTCGATAATAAGTGCGTATCAATTTGTTAGGATTTAAATATAAACTTAAGTAAGCGAAAAAAAATATTCAGATTCTATCTATGTTTTTAGAATTAGATATCATAAACTTTTTTATATGTAGAATAATAGTACGTAATGTCATAATAAATTAACGTATATGTGTTAAAAAATTATTTTAAAGTTAGAAATAATTATTTTATGTATATAAATATATAATATGTGTGTGTGTGTGTGTGTGTAATATGTTTTTAAAACGTAAATCTATTTAAGAGAGTTTCATATAACTTTGGAAAATTATTTATTTCGTCTAATGTTTTGTGTAATGTTTTATTATTTATTGTATGTAATGATTTACAAAAACTTGCAAAACCTTTCTTAATACTGAATATTAAAATTTTAAGTGAAAAATGTCATAAGTCTTATTCTCTACAAGATATTTATCAATTAGGGTAAACTAGGGTACTATGGCCATATGGAAAAGATAACCATAGGTCATAATTTCTCTAACAATTGATAAATAGTGCATTTTTATAGTTATTCTTAAAGATAATTAATATTTACAGTAATTCATATGAATACACTATTCAAAATAACAATATTATAAATATTATCTAATATTTTTTCTTTCGACTATCTGCAAAGTTTTACACGTGTCT